TTGCCCTTGCCTTTGCTCTTGCCATCTGAGTAAAAACCGCGCCCTTGCATGAGACCAGCTAGCTTTTTACTAGTGACCGTGAGGGCCTCCGTCGCCGCCAAGAGCGCGGACACTTCGTCGGGCACCTCGATCTCACCGTTATCGGCCGCCTGGTCGTCAGCGGGGATGAGCTCCTCCTCGTCGTCCTCCTCCTCGATAGCGTCATCGGGCTCGTCCTCCTCAAGATCGGCGCCCTGGTCCTCGACGCCCTCGTCACAGTCATCCTCGTTGGCATGTTCCGGGAGCTCAGGGTCCCATTCCGTCTGCCACTGCGACCATCTTGGGGCCCGTGAAGACCTAGAGCTCCTCCTGGTACTGTTCGAGGTCGTGGAACGGGACGAGAGCCGACCTGGAGGTTCTCGTAGACAAAGAAGCCAGTCCTCGCGGTAGACCTGTGATGGTCATACCCGGAGGATATTGAATCCTCAAGGCTTCCACGACATCTTTCATGCAGTAGCGGTTCCCGGCCGCCAGCAAAACAGCAGCTGTAGCCTTCTCGTCCAGTCTTAGGCCGTCCAGCAACTTTATCACCCTTGCTTGCTCAGGGTACTCCGGCACCTTGTTGTCGGCCAGCTTGCGCTCTAGCAACCGGAAGCGACGAATGAAGGCGTTGATGGACTCGCCCTGCATCCGTCCTATGGCCTCACACTCTCGGATGACGCCGCCCTGCCTGAAGATTTCTCTCTCGCCAAGGCCTTATCGAGGTCGGCCAGGAGGATGGTGATGCCGTCGGGCTTGTCGAATCGGTCGTCCGGCACCTCCTCGAACTCAATCTCGGCTTCACCGGTCAACTTCTCCAGGGCCCTCAAGGCCTGCTCGTTTGGCGGCAAAAACTCCTTGGTTATTCGAACCCATCTCAAGAGCTTCCTCCTGTGCAGTAATGCCTCAGGCAGTAGGGATTCCGCTCCACGTCACCATCGAACTCTGGGGCAGCGGGTGCCGCACCAGACCTCCAATTGTGGTCCTTAGCAGCTGCGCCACCACGAGAGCCGCGCTTACGCCGTCGGCGTTCACTGGAGCCAAGTGAACCTTCGTTCACCTCGGCCGCATCTTCAGCCGCGCCAGCAGCCTCGCCACTGTCGTCTAGCCCAGCGCT